TAAAAATACATTTTCTTTTAAACAGCGGTAATCTCATCTCCTCAAGAAGACTGAAAGCTCCTATAGCATAAGGGAAATGGAAAGGATCCATAGCTTACAATTCTTATAGTAGACACCATGTTGTTGTTGTTATGTGCCATCAAGTCAGACCCGACTCATAGTGACCCCTCCTTGGGTTTCCAAGACAGTATCACTATGGAAGTAGATTGCCCAACCTTCCTTCTGAGGAGTGGCTGGTGGGTTTGAAACCGCCAGCCTTCTGGTTAGCAGTCAAGTGCTTTAGGCACTATGCTACCAGAGCTCCCAAAGACACCATAGTAGGATTTCAATAACCATTCCATCAAAGTGTCCTTCCTGTACACTAGGCTGGGATCTATGTGAGAACCCCAAATATGTAGTTTTTTTGGTTTTTATGCATCATTAACTTGTTTTCATCTATTATGTAATCAGGTTCAGTAAAGAGAACAAGAGCAACATAGATCCTTACTTATATCTGCCCTTTGGAACTGGACCCCGAAACTGCATCGGCATGAGGTTTGCTCTCATGAACATGAAACTTGCTGTCACCAGAGTTATGCAGGAGTTCTCTGTCAAACCTTGTAAAGAAACACAGGTCAGAAGTCAATTCTTTGCATAAACAATACTTTTATTGGGAGTGTTTTAAACTGAGGGATACAAATAATGTGCTTGTTCATGTTTTAATAAGTTGTTCTATTGGCCACAGAATCTATTTGAAGCCATCTATGAACTTTCCTGACCTTTCCGTTCTGGAGTTCTAAGTGTATAGCTTTTTAAAGACTTGTCTATGAAGGTCATTTAGAATCAATGTGTGATAGGATTATATTCAGCCCTTTTAAACTAGAGCAAAGTTTTAAGTTCTCTTTCAAGTCAATTGTAAAGATGGAGAAGTGTTGTGCATAGCCATGTAACACAGTGATGGCCTTATTGTGACTTTTGAATGATGCCAGCAGGACTTACAGAATCTCCCTCATGACAGTGGTTGTCAACCAGAGCCTGTACATTGAAACCACGAGGGAGCTTAAAAATTCCTGATGTCTAGGCCATCTCAAAAATTCTAGTATCATTAAGCTCATGTGGCTTTAAAAGCTCATCTATTGATTTGCCTGTATGGTCAAGGTTGAGAACCACTGATCCAAAAAAAACTTTTCTGTCAGATATGGAGTAGTCCCACAATCCAGAGCCATCCTTGGCTACTTCATATTCCTTTCCAGGATACGAGCTCTTTTGAAAACCTAATAAGAACTGTAGGGGGGAGGTTGAGATGGTTCCCATCTTATTTGTAGCTTTAGGACAGCTGTGTAGCAGTCCTGTGGGTGACTATAAACAGGAGACTCAGACCTGAGAGGAAGAGACAAGTGTCACAACCAGGATGTAGCAATACCCTCCCTGGAAGTCTCCCAGGGGCCGGTCAGTGTTACTCATCCCCCACCACAGTTTGCGTGTTCTTCACTCAACTAACATCAGACTTTTACAGTGTTGATAGTGCCAACACTGGAGGAACAGTGTGACAAGGGACCCCCACTATTATTGAAAAGACTGTATGTCATCAGAAGCTAATCATTCACATTGCAATTACACTTGGGAGTCATGAGATGTAAGAAGACAAAGGCATAATATTCCTGAAGCCCTCATCTCATCATTATACTAAATTCCATGAGAAGGTGTAACTGAACTCTTTGGAAGTCAGGGACTACACAAACAATTCAAGAGTGAAATACCTACTTATGATTACCTCACAAGTGCCAGCATACAGAAAATTACCTTTACATGGCTTTTCAAGAATAGTTTGAATAGTGAATAGGAATTTAGTGTTAATTTTAAAGAGCTGTTTAGTTTTACTCGTAACATCAACGAAAAAGAACACAAACAATATAGTTTTGTTTGTAAAAATCTTACTTGTAAATACTTTGGAGAATGAATAGGTGGATGAATACTTTCATTGTCCAGTCTTGGCACAGCTTATAGAATAGCTGTAAAGAAAAGCTATATGATGGCATAAACAGTGTCAGTATGTTTGTAGAGCTGTATTGTCCTGACCCTATCTACCATGCTTTTGTTGTTACTGATGCTTTGTTTGTTGGTTCTTAATATGCCTGTTTCATGGTTGCAGATCCCGATACAATTAGGCAGGGAACCACTGATTTCACCGAAGGTACCTGTTGTTATAAAGTTTGAATTAAGAGATGGAAATGCAAGTGGAGCATGACATTTGCTGAGGACTTCATCTTTGTTCTTCAAGGAGGTGGTTTCTCCAGCTAACCAGGAGCCTCAATTTAGTCTGTGAATAAAACCCAGAAATGAAGATGGGTGCAATCTGTTGCACCTGGTGAATGATAAAGGATTTTGTACATGTATTTAGCTTCTTAGTGTACATGTAGAAAATTATACATTATGTAATATTAAAATGGTGATTAAATCAGTACTAGATGTGTAAGTTCCGCTCAATTGGTTCTCATATACAATATCTATCTGCCTGTCTGCCTGCTATCTATCACCTATCTGACTACTTATCTGTCATCTACTTGTGTATTCACGTAGAGAGACAGAAATGCCTGAGGATTCCCAGGCACCCCAGCCCCCTGCTATTTGAATCTTTCCAGCCCAGGCATAGACATATGAGAGAGCTTTCAGATGACCCCAACCCAAGTCTGTTTGCAAGAACAGATCCCAAGCAAGAATTTCCCACCTAAGCACAATCAGCCTAATTGCATGAGCAAAGTCAAGGAACATCACCATCCACTGCTTTTGGATGGTGTGTTATGCCAGAGTAGACTGAGACATATAGAATCCAGAAGAGAGATGGGAACTAGAGGAAGCTGGAGGCAGTAATACATTGTAGTGCATCACTGGAAAAAGCAGTGAGGTTGTGGCTGAACTAAGAGGAAAGGGTGCTGAGGTCTGAGCAGAGGTGTCGTTTGGTCATGGGGTTCAGTACAAGGAAAAAAGGGAAAGGGGAGTGGAGCACCTATTATTTGCTGGATCTGCTTGGCACCAAGCCTTTATGCTCACCAGCATTCTTTTTAGTAGGGAAACCTTGTGGTAGGAGGCTGTGACAGCCTATTTTCAAGAGCCCCCAGGGTTTCTCTCCTCCAGGTTTTCATTCCCTTGTGTAGCTAGCCTCTTTCCACATGGATAGAGCCAGCCTTTTAAACCATTAGGATATTGTACAAACGCTGGTGTGTGACTTCTGAGATTGAGTCATGAGAGAGGGTGTGGCTTTCACCTTGCTCCCTCTTAGATCACTGACTCTGAGGAAGCCAGTTACTATGTTGTAGGGATACTCAAGTAGACATATGGTAACACTGGGGCCTCTTGGCACCAATCAGTGTTTGTTTTTCTTAATATCAAGATCTTTCATTTCTATTTATGTATTTATTTTATTGTGCTTTGGGTGCAAATTTACAAAGCAAATTCATTTTACATTCAACAGTTCATGCACATTTGATTTAATGCCCCAGTCACCATCCTCAACCATAAAAAACTCTCCTCTCCTCCCCTCCCTGTGACTACACCCTGCCTGTGCCCTTCTTAAGTGTGTGCTCCTGTCTGTCCAGCTTTCCCTCTATGTGAATGCTGACCCTCTGGTGTCTCATGGCTGACTGATCCAAGGGGTGCATATCCCTGGAGTAGGTGGGTGGATCCCCCGGGGGTAGGTGTTCTGCATGTAGGGCTTTCTTCTGTTGGGCTGAGAGCCAATCCATGGAAGTGAGTTCATTTCTAGGCCTGGGGCCATAATCTCAGGGGTTCCACCAGTCTCTATCTGACCAGTAATTTTGGTCATTTTTGTGATTCTGAATTTTTGTTCCACATTTTTCCTCCCACTCTATCTAGGATCTCCAGTTTTGTTCCTTTTCTGAGTGGATGACATTGGTAGCCAGGCACCTTCTAGTTCTTCTAGTCTCAAGGTCATGAAGGCTGAGGTCCTCAGGATCCATCTTATCCTTGGACCAATTGTTTCCTGGTGCCTTTGATTTTCTTCATTCTTCCTTGCTTCAGATGAGAGAAGGCCAGTTTTAGATTGTCACCTGAAAGCTTAAGACCCCAGTCACTACTCACCAGAGTAGGTTGTATAACAAGATTTTTACATACTATGTTGTTGGCACCAATCAGTTTTATCTTACCAAGTATGTGAGTGAGTCCCCATTGAAGTGAATTAGGTACCCTAGTGAGGTTGACTGCAGCCCCAGCCAACACCTGAACCTCAACCTTCCAAGAGACCCTGGGCTAGAACCCTTTCACTAGGCCACTTCTGTTACTGACCCACAGATGTTCAGATGATAAAATCATTGTTTGAAGCCATTCACTTCTGGAATATTTTGCTATTAAAAAAAAAAAAAAAA